TTTAAAACACTTGAAGGATCATATCAAAATACAAAACCATGTATACCAGATAAAGAAATGATTATAGAAATACCACAAAATTTACCACAAGGAACAATATATAACATCGGTCTTAATCCTGAAGAAGATAAATCAGTAGGAGAAAAACTAAATATAATTAGTCAAAAATTAAACAATATTATAGAAATAGAAAGTTTAATTGTATTAAAACAAATCCCTGAATTATTACAGAATTTAACTCAACAGAAAAATCTACTTGAAAAATATTTAAAAATAATAAAAACAATTAAAGAAGAACCACTCAATGAAAAACCACTACTTAAAGAAAAACCACTTACCATTAAACGACCTTTCACATGGTAAAATAAAAATGAATAATAAAACCCAAATATACTATAATTACAATAATAAATAAAAAATTATGGAGTTATAAAAAAAAAAATCACAAAATCGAAATCTAAAACAATACGCAATGTTTCAACCACTCTAACAAACACAACTTGTTAATATAAAAGCTTTACAAGAAAAAACATCAATTAAAAGAAATTTATAAACTAATCCTAAAATGAGTAAAAGAAAAACAAATATTAACCCAAATAGTACCTTTATTACAACCAAAATACAAGATAAAGAATTAGTTTCATATATAGATACAGGAGCTACTTTATGTTTTGGAAGAAAAAAGATATTAAAAAATTAGAAAAACCATTAAAGATTACAATTGCTGATAAATCAATTCACAAAATTTGGTTCGTAGGAAGAGATATAGATATAGTAATTGAAAAAACACCATTTAAAACTCCAACTATATATCACATGATTCGGGAATAGATTTAGTTATAGGAAATAATTTCCTTAAATTATATCAACCATTTATACAAACAAATGACGATATAAGTCTCAATCATCCAACAAAAGGTTTTATAAAAACTGCAATTATCAAACATTATGATCTTATTAAAATAATCAAACAAGAAGTTGGTTTTCAACTAAGCATATTACTAACATTTGCTAAAGAAATTGCTGAAAAACAACTCGAAGAAGTATGTAGCGAAAACCCGCTAGATCATTTAAAAAATAAAAATAATCAAGAAATAATAATATTATTAAAAAACCCTAATGTTGAAGTTAATGTTCCAAATAAAATTCCATACAGCATAAAAGATGTTTCTGAATTCAAACAGGAATGCACTGAACTATTAGAAAAAGGAATCATTCGACCTAGCAAGAGTCCTCATTCAGCACCTGCATTTTATGTAGAAAATAATAATGAAATAAAACGAGGCAAACGAAGAATGGTAATCAATTATAAAAAAATGAATGATGCTACTATAGGAGATTCATATAAATTACCACGAAAAGAATATATTTTAGAAAAAATAAAAGGAAATACACATTTTAGTACATTTGATGCAAAATCCGGATATTGGCAATTACGCTTACATGAAAATACGAAACCACTAACCGTTTTTTCATGTCCTCCTCAGAAGCATTATGAATGGAATGTCCTTCCATTCGGTTTAAAACAGGCACCAGCAATATATCAGCGATTCATGGATGAAACCTTAAATGGTTTAGATCATATTTGTCTTGCATATATTGATGATATAATTGTTTTTACAAAGGAAATGAACAAACACACATTGATGCAGTCATCAAGGTTTACAAAGAATTAAAGAAAAGGGTTTAGTTTTATCAAAAAAGAAATCAAAACTTTTTCAAACTACAGTTGAATATCTCGGTTTAAAAATTGGAGAAAATGGTCAATTATCGTTAACAGACAATATACGAGAAAAATTAAATATGTTTCCTGATAAACTTGAAAATAGAAAACAAATACAACGATTTCTTGGTTGTTTAAATTATATTGCAGAACAAGGATTTTTGAAAAATTTAGCGAAAGAAAGAAAAGTTTTACAAAAGAAAATATCAGAAAAAATACCTTGGTCTTGGACCAATACAGATACTATTTTGGTACAAAATATAAAACAAAACATTCAAGTTCTCCCTACTTTATATAATGCAAAAATAGATGATTTCTTAATCGTAGAAACAGATGCATCCCAAGACACTTGGGCAGGATGCCTAAAAGCAATTATACGGGGAAAAGTATTATTGAGATTAGATAGTGAGGGAAACCTCATATCTAACTCATCAAAAGTATACAATGATAAAGCACACACTGGTATGAAAATACCATCTGAAGTAAACAATGATAAAGTATACAGTGATATGAAAATATCACCAAAAGCATACAGTGATATGAAAATATCACCAAAAGCATACATTGATACAGATGTATCATCTGAAGTATTAAAAACAGATAAATACGAGCAAAAACTATGCAAGTATATATCGGGAACATTTTCCCAAACGGAGCAAAATTACAGCACACATGAACGAGAAACACTAGCATGTCTCAGAACATTGAAAAAATGGAAAGTCGAGCTACTTCAAACCAGATTCGAATTACGCACAGATTCCAAGTATCTACTTGGCTTTTGGCGGTATAAGTTACAAGAAGATTACTGTCGAGGACGATTGATCCGGTGGCAATTACAATTACATCAATTTCATCCATATCTCAAGTATATCAAAAGCGCCAACAATCATATAGCAGACACATTGACAAGAGAATGGAAGCCATCATAGAGAAACAGTTAAAAACATTCCTACTCGATTATGAAAGAGGCACCATTCATGAAAGATTAACGTCAGCCATGACACAAGCAAACATTATTCAAAAATATGTCTTTTCGGAGGCGGGAGGAATGACGTAAGCAATAAAAAGCCATTATTAAAGAAGACACGTTATTGAAGACACGTGTCCTTTCGTTATGGAAGGATGTATTTTATAATTTGTATATTATTTGTATTTATTGGTATTTGTCATTGTCAGTAGATTAAGTGTCATATGTCGATAGGTTATATGTCACTATCGAATATGATATCTAGTTTGTAGGATATGATTTAAAGTGTGTAACCCTCAATAGTCTAGGGGGCTATAATGTAAATAGGTTTGTCATATTGCAATCAAACGATTGCAACTCAATTATTGTACTCGGCTCCTTTGAGCCTATAAATAGGGCCTTTGCCCATATGGAATAAACAAGCGAAGTTTGAGTGTTTAAGATTTGAGTTGATCTCAATCTTCTTCTGTTGAAATAGCTCGTCTATTTCTGAATAGCAGAACCCTATCCAAACATATCCATATATTCATATAAACATATCAAACCCAGACAATCAATCCATCGTCAATCCATTCCAACGCATCATTCAGGTATATTCTGTATTAATTTTATTAATTCCGCCATGTCGTTAATTTTGAACTGAGTGTAGCGTTATATGGTCGAGCTCAGCATCTTTAATCGTCCCTTCGGGGACATCCGATAAAATTGGAACGATACCGAGAAGATTAGCATGGCCCCTGCGCAAGGATGACACGCACAAATCGAGAAATGGTCCAAATTTTTTTCCATCTTCATCGGCTTCGCAGAAACCCTAATCACCATTAAACTTACCGATACTTATGTCATGCGACGTGGAAACGGAGGTTACGATTTGGACATTTATTATCGTCTCGTTTTCAGTGTGTGTTCCAATATGAGCCAATTTTTTATTCTGTTTTAAACTCCAGTTCCTTAGTTTATTTGTGTCTCACACTTCGATTAGGGTTTGTAGATCAAGAAAATTTCAATTATTTCTGCTATCAGTTTGGCAATTTATTTTTCAGCATATTGTTAATTCAAACTAGGGCATTTGAAGACGTTTTTGTCAAGTAAACTGCAAGTTATGGTCATGTCACTTTTGTGAATTTTGGTCTCTCAGCCATAGTAATCTCGGATCATAGCGTTTTGTGACCAAAACAGTATTGATGCAATCGAAAGGAGGTTAGGGTTTTGATGGTATTTTCAATTATTTTCTCCTTTCGTTAAGTAGTCGCGGATTTTGAGGACATATGCATCAAAAGTTGCAATCTTTGGAAGCTATGTAGATACTAGATACTGTGCGTGTGTGCGTTCAAATATGAGTAAATGTTTGATTGTAGTTTCAAGCTTACTTCCTTAGTTATATTCGTCTACACTTATGCACTTCCATGGGGGTTTGCTGTGGATATTGATTTGGTTTGGTTTGTTGAGCTCCTCAATCCGTAATCAACAATGGAACTTAAGATTTTATTTTGTGTTTTTATTAGTGTCAGCTGCTGCGTGTTCTTGTATGATATTCTTTTCATCCTAATTTATGTTTAGGTTTACATAATATTTAACATATTTAACCTGCTAGCTAAATTATACACAATAAATAGAAGAGAATGTTCCATTTGTTTACGTTTCACATCATCTTTCAAGTGAACACAAATTTATATAATTGTTCCTTGAAGGAGGCTGGCTGTTTTTATTTTATCACTCACATTCACATAGTACTGGACTAAAGATCATTTGGCAAATGTCAATACACAAATGTCAACATGTTATGTGCTATCTTGACTCTTGTTGTGGGTAACAGATAGGGTGTTGACTTGAGGTTTTATGATTTTGTTTAATAAATGAAGTGGACTAGGGAATTGTGTATAGATGCAAGTGTAGTAGTTTACACGGCATTCAAATTAGATATATCGATAGATATATAAACTTTTAGAATACTTTGTTGTTATTATTTATTATAAGATTCAAAAAATATCTTCTTCAAGCTTTCATAAATAAATAAATAACCAAGTCTTTTGGCGATTTGGGAAATATTTAACCATCTCATAGAAAACATGTAGCAAAAAGGACTTCACTTGACAATAATGTTTTTGTCGGTCCTAAATGTATTTACTAGTAGTGCCATGTACCTCTCATAATATTTCATCCCCCCTATATTCACATTTACAGCTTTACTACCCCCTACCTAAACCTCATTCTCTATTCGAAAAAACACAATATATATATATATATATATATATATATATATATATATATATATATATATATAGAGAGAGAGAGAGAGAGAGAGAGAGAGAGACTCGTGGAATCATATCTACTGCCTACATGTACAAATATCCACTTCTGCTGCTATTAACATTCACATTCTCAAAAACCATCAACTCTGCCAACAAAGCAGCGTATTCTTTTTGAGCCTCACCTAATGCTATCTTCAGATTCATCACCTGCCAATTGCCAATTCCCATTTAATAATAATAATATGACATTTGACATTAAATTAATAAACAAAGGCAATGCAATGCAGATAGATTGTCTGTATCTGTAAAAACTAAAAAATATTACTAAAATCAACTACGTACCTTGAGATTAAGTTCTTCCCCTGCCTTCTCGGATTTCAAGCATCTGAAACAAAACAAACATACAAATAAACCAAATGACATTCACAAGTCACAACACAATATACATACACATATTATAAAATTTAATAAAAAGATAGATAGTCACTGTTGTTGGAGCTTCTTGTTTTTCTTGCATCAAGATCATCAACCTTTGACTTTGTGCAGTATTAGGCTACAAACAATGAACACGATGTTTGTTATGATGAAAGAAATAAAGATAATAAAGAATATTTCTTCCAATCTAAACATTCATTACCATATTTGAGTCTGGTTGATCAGCTTCTCTCATATGCTTTTTCAAATGGGATCCTTCTCCCTCTGGTAATTTCCTCTTCAAACCTGATCCTCCTGATTTAATAAAACATGTGATTATCAGTCTATAACCTCAACAATAAAAACAAATTATTATTATTATTATTAAAATCAAATAATGATAATACCCTCTTCAGCAGCTTGTGGGACAGCAGGTGGTTCTTCTATGATGGGATTGGGATTGGGATTGGGTGGTGATTTAGCATATAAAGCAGCCCTGCTGCTAACTGTGGTGATTACTGGTGCGCTTTTAGAGCCACCAGTATGATTAGCAGTGATAGTGCTTTTTCTCGAGTGTGAGGGTGGAGGCGTTTGTGTAAAATGAGCTGAATTCGGGGTCGGGGGAGGCAATGAAGAAGATCGAAGCTTTTTAGGAACTTGATACCCAATTAGGCTACAATGAACATCCCTAACAACAACAAATAAATGTTACTTTAAAGTTTAAAGAGTTATGTTATAATATTATTTGGCATGAAACAAGTACAAGTAGTAGTAGCTAGGTCTCACCAGTACTCATGTGTCATGTCTTTTAATCTAGTCACGAGCTTTTGGAAAACATTTGTTTTCTCAAAATCTTGTTTACTATGTGTTGGTTCGATAAAGTTTGCTTCAAGTACACCTACAGAAAAAAAAAAAAAAAAAAAAAAAAAAGTCAACTAAAAATGTCCATTGGATGGTCAACTATAACAAGACAAAACACTCACCAACAACACCTCTCCCTCGGTTGCGGCTAAAAGTAACCACGGGATAAAAAGGCTGAATAAAAAATTATACAAAGTGTTAGAATTTCCATTTTTTAACAAGAATAAATAAATAGGTAAAAATGAAAAATGTAAATCAAAATCACCAGTATCAAACGGCCCTTGTGGTAGATGTTAAAGCCATGGACATTCACATCTGGGGCCTCCTTAAGGAACCCTATTGTTGTTAACACTTTGCCCTGAAATAATTTGATCAGATTAAAAATCAGGTGATTGCCTAGTTTGAAGTTAAATAAATAAAAAGTTATAATCACCTCACCTCGCCACTATGCGGTTTATACTCAATAAATTCAGGGTGCTTGAGATCAGTTGCAATGTTATCATAAAGAACAACTTTTCCTCGCAATACAATGCAGAAAGTCTCCGGAAGGTTGACATACAAGATGGATAAATATGCCTGAAACATATGTTAGAAATTTAAGGAAAAACTGCATCTGCATGGTTCAAAAAATAGAGTTGAACTCCTCACACTTACACGAAGAGAATATTTTAGGCGATTGGCAATGTGATTTTCATTTTTTGCCTTGAGAGAATCATCCTTTGCTTTACTTTTTCCATCCCATTCTATACGAATATCCTGCAGAAAATTCAAAATTCAAATTTGTGACAGTAGAATAACCACAAAAAGGGTAGTGATGATGGAAAAGAAAGAAGCTGAAACCTCGGGATCTGACTCGAAATCAAGCTCCACATTACCCTCATTATCAAGCCATAAATTGTAGATGACGACTTTCGTCCCATGAGGACCAACATTATCAAACTACAAAAGTAATAACAACCCATTAGCATTATGGATAATCTACAATTCTATATCTAGTAGTATGTTGTAATACAAACTGATTGTGGTAAAAGTAAAACTTCAACAAGGAGATGATTGGTCCAACTCCAAGAAAGCTCAATTTAAAACAGAAGATCAGCCGATTTAAATGCAACAAATAACAATGTATTTTTTAAACTTTTATTCCTATCCTTCTCTTTACATAATTGTATTTTCTAATTATTTATTATTAGGGTGTTGTACTTTAAAATCTACCCAATTATAACAACAATAACTTTCTACCTTTTAAAGTAGAAAATCCCATTGTTATATCTGTTTCAAAGTACGATACCTTAAGGAGAAATCATTTGAAGGTATAAGATGAAATGAAAGTACAATGCTAGGATAAAGCCTTTTTGGAAACTACATTGCTATTTCTTACATTTAGCCCAAGAAAGAAATGGTATAGTACTAACATAATATGACTGGCCCAAGAAAAATCAATTTTAGACAGAAGACAGTAGTATCATACTTTGAAGAATTTAGGCAATGTCCTCTACAAAAAATATATATTATAGCATTGTACTTTTGGTTCTTTTTATTACAACATTGTACTTTCAAAATATCTTTTATTAAGGCATTGTACTTTGAAAAATCTTCCCAATTATATTATAGCAATTAGCAAATGGGATAAGATAACCATTTTAGTTATCAGTTACAATAACTAGGTAGATTTTTCAAAGTACAATACCCTAATAAGAAATAACACGAAAGCATAATGTTGTAGTAAGAAGAAACAAGAATATGCTTCTTTTGAAAAGTAGATTGGTATTTTGTGCATTTAGGCCAAGAAACAGAAACAGTATGCTTACTTGCTTTAGCAGCTGTTCCTCTGTTGAATAAGGAGACCACTTCAAAAGCACGGATAGATTTGAGTCAGAGTGTTGGCGTGACTGGAAAACATGCGTCTTAAAATTAAACTCATAGTGTACCTGCAGTATACAATTGAGTAATTCAGGACCTAAATAAGGAATGCGTAAATGCAAATCACAAGAAATGTAAACTCTCTCACACACCATGGGAACAACGATTCTGTCATAGCCTGATTGAGTCAGAAATGTGTATGATAAAAGGCCAATGCTCTGTGTCAAACTCCCATTCCCTTTCAAACATTCTTCAAAACTGTATTGTATACAAAACAGTTAGGATACCCGAATGTCAAAAGTCAAAACAATAACATAACTTTTTATTTTGGTCTTAAATTATTTTAAATCTTTTTTTTTGTGCGTGAAAAAAAACAGTGTATACAACAACACATGCACAATTTGCTGTAAACTGCACGTGATCTGTAATTATCGTTTCTGGGTCCACATGGAACATAAATTCATATTACACTTCAATAACTTAACATTAAAGATATAAAAAGTTTGTTTTGCACTATTTAAAATCTTTTTGTTATGTGAGAAACGACTTTTTGTTAACTTGAGGTGAAAATTGTTTTTGGATCCACATGGACTTGTTAAAAGTTCTTTTTGAACATAATTTTAAAATATTAAAGTTGGTCTTTCATTGTTAAAAATCTTTTTGTTGTGTGAAAAATAAGAAAATGGTGTATACAACAAACAAGATGACAACTTGCTGTCAACTGCAGATCATCCTTGTTTCTGGATCCACATGGGTTCGTTTAGCTTAAATGCATAGTATACATTGAGAATACTATAATTTTAAAGATATTACAAGTTTTAAAAACCCCTTGGTGTAGAATAGAAAAACAATAGAAGATCTAGTCATGTTGTTAACCCAAGGGCCAAACCTGCCAACAAAGTTGCGACTGAAAACTATGGCATCTGCTCCAAGCCTCATGGAACTTGTTTTAAATCCATTCCCATCTAAATGTCAACAACACAACCAATTAAAACAAAGAAAAAAACAAAATGACAACAATGAGAAGACTGTGTTCCTACACTTTCCAATTGCAGAGTCTGACTTTTTATCAGAAAACCCAAAACTCAGACATTGGCGCATTGCTTCTGGATCCATTCCAGTCCCATCATCTAGTTTAAAATTTAAATCATCAGGACAAAAGCCACACATATAATGATAACCTTGCAAGAGTTGGAAGATGACAAAGAGGAAACCCTAAAGCACAACATTACCTTGAATCAACAATGCTGGACTTCCATTTCTTGGGTTTAAAGTCTTATCTATGTACACACAGGTGGCCCCTTTTTGTATCTACACAACAGGTAAAGCACAGAAGACTGTTAGGTAATATGCAGAAGCATTACAAGTCAAATACTTCCATTTTCACGTAATCGGGTAAAAAGACTGATTAGGGAAAGAAAGAAATGATTAGCTATCATAAAGACAAATGTAACTGTATCCAAACAAAATAAACAAATAGGCAACAACAAGAATGATGGTATATAAAGAAATAAAAATAAATTTCTTGAAGAAAAATCAACTAGAAATACATTAACATGATTACCTCATCCACAGCATTATCAAGAAGCTCTGCTATGGCTGCAGATACAAGATGGCAAATAGAATGTGTTACAAATGTACAAAATCTCTATTTAGCGTAGCATTATATAACATAGAACAAATAACAGGATGAAGCTCAACATACCACCAAATGCCCATTTGTGTGAAGTGGCATTTGAATGAAGAAACTTCGGGTGTATGTGTAGATAACTTGAACCAGCTGTTAATTACATACAAAGTTACTAATGCATCAAACAATATATTAATAGAAATATATTTATCTACACCAGCAAGCACAATAACTAATAAGATCTTCAAATGACTCTTTAAGCTTTCTGAAGCAACCAACAATTCTTTAATCATGAAATTGGGATTCAATCATATCAGTATAATCGCATTCACCAAGAAGAAACAACGATAAAGAATCATGAGATTAGTTTGATTGTGAAGTACCATGCGTTTTGGTGACAGGTGTAAGATCCTCATTATAAGCTCCAGCTTTCCAAAATTGGCGACAAATGGGTGCAGCACATGTTGATGATGTAGAACAAGGGCTTGTATCATCAACATGTGATTTTTCATGATCCAAGATGCAAGTGCCACTTTGACCTGTACTTGAGGCACTTCGGCTCCTATTCCCTTCAGATTCTGGTATTCTTCCATAGGCATTGGACTTTGTATGCAAGTACTCAGCTTGACCATTAGTTGTCCTGATGGAATTTGATTCCATCTTAACCAACCCTGCATCCACTTCTCCATGATTATAATCCCAACCTGCTTCAACCATATCCTCCTTGTTGCAATCTGCTGAAAAGTCATAAAATCTCTTCAGAATCGCCTTAGTATCATAATTGTAGCAAGAACAATGCACTATAAAGCGTGGCACAACAGAAGAACTGACAAAGAACCAGCAAACAGAACAGACTTCAACCTAAATAGTTTTTTCAATGTTTCTCTATGAAAAAGTGGAGATCCTTTTCTGATTTTCTCTAAAGTCTGTTTGTAATGATATAAAGAATACTTAGCTCGGAGCATAATTTTAAGTAATGAGATAGAACACCATATCCTCTATCATTTTAAAAGTTATCAAAAGGAGCACACGATAAAGGAACATGTCTTCAACCACATATACAAAAAGTTACTAACAGTAGTATTACCCAAATCACACTCCAAGTGTTTGGGGATTCACCCGATTAGTCCAGTGTTTACTCTTTATTCTAGAATGTTATATCTAGACTTAATATGTGGTGAAAAGGATAGCTCTAGAGCACTCCTATCATATTTTCAGAATGTACAACAACAACCAAAATAATAATAATAATAAAATAAAACCTAACTCCCATATGAATGGGCTAGGAGAGGTAAGAGGCAGGCAGTGGTGCCTCTTTTCCAAGGGTAGAGAGACTGCTTCCATAAATGAACACACACAGTCGAAAGAAAACTATGATCGACTAGTACTATTCTTCACAACTTACATGACTGAACCCTCATTTCATGAAATGTAGGAACAAAGGAAGAAGATTATATGGATATTTGAACCACAAAGTAGATGTTCTCCTATGATTTGTTACGTTTTAACGCATTGAGATCATGGATTGACCCTACGATTTTCCCCAAATGCAGAATACAAATGGTGCATGTAGATTTTTACCAGGGCTTAACCCTATATTTTGATCAGTAACAAAATACTGAATACGAGTAAAACAAAAACAAACAAAAAGGTTGAAATAGCAAATTCATCATTCATACAGCCTTAAGACTGCTAATACATAATGTAACCCTCAACTGCGACATTGGCTACTAGTGGCAGTAAGAATAATCGTGTATAAGAGAACATGACAAAATCACTACTAGAAAGTCGGAGAAAATGCATCAATGAAATAAACTCACAAGTATTCTGCGTTTATGATGAAAACTCAGTAGCGGAAACTTCAAGCAAATGAGAAATGAAGAAACAGTGAACTAAAGCGGTTTTGAAAAGAGGGTTTTGTATTGAAAGAGAATTTTACCAAATGTGGCATGCAAATGGAATCAAAGAGAATGAAATTGTGTAGAAGAGGCCGATGGAAAAAGAGGAATGGCCAGAAGGTAGCGCTAGCGTCCGCTGGTAAATATACACGATCGACGAAGAGATAGAGAGAGAAAAAAGCAGCGCGAAGAAACTCCGTTGATCGGCAGAGGCTACAGTGGTGAAATTGAAGCAAGGTGACAGGCATTCCGGATTCGCATGTCCTCTCAAGTTACAAATAGTCCCTGTACTTTATTTAAAATTACGATATGGACAATCTTTTCTTACTAAAACTATCTCTAACCATAGGCTATTTTGAAGATTTAAAGTTGCACCATTTTGGTGTTAACCACACTAGCCCACTATTTTGTTGCTATGTTCACCAAAGACAAATTCATATAGTATTATATATTAATAATGTTATATGTTATATTCTGTAACTTATATATAAATTGTAAGTATATGATATACATGTTAAAATTAATTTCTACAAGCATATATTGATAAATATTTAACTGAGAGGTCTAAAATAAGTCCAATATTGAAAATGATATCTAAGAATTAAATTTTGTTAAAGTTTATCATATTAATTTTGACAAGCCTACGTAACCTACATATATTTCATAAAAAGTTATTAATTTATATATTATAATCCTCCAATGATTAAACTTATAAATACTTATTGTTTTTTTATATTATCTTTCCACCGACCATAATCTAACAAAAACTTTTTATTAAATACCCTTTCAATGGTTAACATTTCCAATAAATTTTTCTAAAATCAACTAATTTATCATTAATTCATCTTAAATATTTTATTAAGTTCCTTCATTTAATTTTCATTTTTATAAATATGTCATATAAAATAGTATTTCTCGATTAATTTTTCCAGAAAAAACTTGTCGAATATTTATTATTTTATAAACATATGTCATATTTATTTTTTTTTATACACTCAATGCCAAAAAAAAAAAAAAAAAGTTGTCGGATATTTTTTCCAAAACTAAAAAAGATAATAAAATTCTCATATATATATATATATATATATATATATATATATATATATATATATATAGTAGTTGTGAGACCCGTATACTATATGAGTTGGTTAAAACAAAAAACTAAATATGAATGTTTAAATAAAAATTTATTTAAATTTAAATTTTAAAATTTGAATTTTAAAGGAAACATATTAAATACAATATATGAGCAATTATATTGTCATTTATTGACTATTTTCAGTTGAGACAATTATTAATTGAAGTGTAAATATTATGTATTAATTAAGAAAAGATAAACAAAAAAGGAGAAAATGACACATTGAAAAATATTTATTCAAAAATATTAGAAAATGACATGTGTCCAAATGAAATGGAGAATGACACGTGATAAAAATATTTTGATTTATTAGGGAGAATATAATATATATATATATATATATATATATATATATATATATATATATATCCTCCCTAATAAATCAAAATACTTTTATCACGTGTCATTCTTATATAAATGCATAAATTTTATATTCAATTATATATATATATATATATATATATATATATATATATATATACTAGGTTACAACCCGTGAAACCACGAGTAAAAAAAGAAATATTATATTCAATTATTAATAATTAAAAATGATAATGAAAAAACAAAGATTTATAAAATTTTATCCTTACTTTTATATAAACATACTTATATAAATGCATAAATTTTTTAAATTGAAGATGATACCCACAATTAAAGATGTAGCAAAGCAAAAAACAAAATAAATCTAAACAATGAAGCAATTAACATTTGAATTAGAAAATATAAATAGACATTATAAAACAACTTGTTGGCTTTTATAATTTGTTAAACAGAAAATATACAATAAAATTATAGATATATTCAACAAACATTATCTAATATAAATATATTTTGATATTCAATACATTCAGATATTATTGATCATATATTAACCATAATCAATTTAATAAATAATAACATTTAAAGTTTAATAAAATAATGAAAAATGGATGTTTTTTTTTGAAACGGAAAATATATTAAAAGCCACATGATTAGCAAGTAACTAGATCATGGGCAAGATTACAAAGAGTACAATGGCAATTAACAAAAATTAAGAGGAGAAATACACCAATCAATCCAACTACCGCACGATTTGGAACTCCTCTATTTAAACCACGAGAATGATTGAGAGATAATATCATCCGCTATCTTTGTCGGGGTAGTAATCACCTTATTATATACCCTATTGTTCCTTGCCATCCAAATGTACAAAATCATTCCATAGAAGATTAAATTGACCACCAACTTTTTCTTAGGGCAATTCCCCCAAGGAGTAGCAAAGTTGAGATATTCCTCAATGTTGGATAGTTGCCTTCCAGAAATACCACACCATTTGAAAATCCAATCACGTGTTTCTTCCGCAACCTTGCAAGTGACAAAAAGATGATCTATCGTCTCAGGTTCCACTCCACATAACAAACATAAATTGGATTGGACATTAATACCCTTCCGAACAAGTTTTGTTGCAACTGGTATTCTTCTCAAATCAACTCGCCATACGAAGTACCTTACTTTGAGATATTTAGAGTTAATTATGCAATTTTTGATTTTTGATTTATTGATAATACATAAAGAGATATTTTGGGCCACCTACATTTCGCTTCTTCAACTCGACCGTGAGCACTCTGATCATTCACCACTCGTTCTCAGACCTTCTAACCAATATTTTGGGCCACCTACATTTCGCTTCTTCAACTCGTGGTTGTATAAAGATGGATTCAATGAGGAATTTTTAAAGGCATGGAATTCCCTTAGTGGTTTCGGTTTACCAGATATGTTTCTCAAGTCCAAGCTCAAGTATGTCAAAGCTTGTATCCGCAAATGGAGAATTGTAGACTCTAATAATAAATTGGAAACATTGAAGAAGTCGAAGGCCAGGGTCTCGGAATTGGAACTTATTGCTGAATCTCGTGCATTATCTGATGGTGAATTGCTAGAAAGAAAGGAATGTAAACGAAAGATTGTTGAATTAGAGCGACTTGCAAAGCTTGATCTCCAACAAAAGGCGAAGGTCAAATGGCTTGCTAACGGTGACGAAAACACTGCCTTTTTTCATGCTACAGTAAGAAGTACAAATCATAAAAATCGTGTACATGGTTTGGTTATTAATGGTGTTTGGAATACAAACCCAAAAGATATTATGAAGGAGGTTCACGATTTTTTTGCTACCAAATTCCATGACATGTGGCCTGAGAGACCTAAGCTTATCAGTAACTTATTCAAATCGCTATCATGCGATCAAGTTGAAGCATTGGATTCACCTTTTCTTATTGATGAAGTAAAACAAGCCGTATGGAGTTGTGGGGGGACAAGGCCCCGGGACCTGACGGATATACCTTCAAATTTCTTAAAAACAAAAATGGATGTGTATTATATGTATTAACCATAGAAAAAAAATCAAATATAGGAATTAAAAAATAATCGTATGTTTGTAAATTAAATGGAATCGAATTACATTGGGAAATTGAATATTATGCTGAAATTCAAGCTAAAAAAGGAATTCAAAATTTTATGTTAGTCGGATACAAACTTATAGGGATTTAAAGTTAATTATGCAATTTTTGATTTTTGATTTATTGATAATACATAAAGAGATATTTAGAGTAAAGAAGGGTATAGTTGGAATTTCATTTGGATGGAAAATGGTTTGTGGAAGTGCCACATGGCAAAAATGATTTCTTTTATTAAGATAGAAGATATATATATATATATATATATATATATATATATATATATATATATATATAGAAATATAAAAACAATAAAAGATTATATAACAATATTTGATATATTTAAATTTTGAGAGTTTTAACAATTTCCTTTAAATAATATATTTTTTATAAAATAAGTTCATTTTCATTTTTTCTATTAAATCAATTGATTAACTAATAAAAAGATTTAATATCTAAATATAATTAAGATACATAATGAAGTGTTATTAAATTAAGATACATAATGAAGTGTTATTAAAAGTAGAGATCAAATGTGATAAAACCTAAAAGACAATTAAAATGTTACAGAAAAATAATTGTTAGGAATAATTTCTTCAATAAGTTTTCTTCTCTAATGGTAAAAACGTTTTCAAAATCTTTTTTAAATAGTAAAAAAAAAACTTTAGAAAATCTACAATTGAAGATGCTCTAACAATTATATTTTATTTAAAACTAGTTAGCTAATTAAAGACAAATATTAAATTATTACAATATTAAAGGCAACAACGGGCTATGTGGTAGCTAGGGGTAGCACGTGCTACCCCTAAAAAAAGTCATGCGAAGTGTAAAAGTTTTGAAAAAAAATGCATGTTCAAAGTTGTTAAGTGGCTACTCCTAAAATACTTGATGTATATGTTGTCTCTAATGGAATTTTGGTCAGATTTGTTTATCTAGTTTTGGACGATCAATTAGTCAATCTTGATTAAACAGGTATGCCCCCAACTTCAAATGCAACGACAATTCAACAAACTAAGTGCCCTTAATTAATTGTTTGTTCTTGTTGCTAATATTGGAAGTTTTTAAATTTAGATATGCATTGGTTTCTTCTTTTTCTTATCCATTTAGGTTGTGATGCATATGCTTGTTTCCTAAAAAAAATATGGTTTTAATGCATATTGTTCAATGAAATGCCTTAGAGCATTAGATCGTGGTACTTTACTGAATAACAAACTAAATGCCCATAATTCATGTTTTGTTATCAAATGTTATTTAGGCATTAAATCAAGGTTTTAAACCTTGATTTTTGGTTTTTAAACTTAAGTTTATAAACCTTATGAGAAGCTTACCAAACAAGCTTGCAGGATTATGAATTTGTGACTGCAAGCATGTATTGACCTTATTATAGTTGGCGAGAGCTTTTTTCAAGAGATCATTTTAAAAAATTTATGTATGCTTAATTAAAAATCAGAGTATCCATTTTAAAAAGTAGTATTGTGGAATTTGTTCCCAAAAAAACATGATAATAATATTATCAAAGCATTTTCGAAGAAATGTATTTTATTTATATTAAAAGTTTGGGATGTCAATGTCAAAACAGAAACATAAGCATAAACAGACTTAACATTCATTTATACTAATGATTTACATCTCCTTTAATCTCTCAGTGTAATGTGTCTTTGTATCGATACGTGTGATACAA